GAAGACATAAAGAGCACACAATTCGGAACCGAGCCATTTTGTGGAATCTCAAAAAGCCTAGTCCGATTGACCCTTGAAACTCCTTATCACAATAAATCACTTAAGATTTGGTCTGATACACCAGGCTTAAAACATTTTAAAGCGTTAATCCGGGCTTTTGATCGCAAATTCGCTTCAGAAGCCCTGGGATTAGGTAAAAATAAACTGCGCAATTCGGCAATAACCCTGACTGGACACTGGACTAAGCAACTCAAGGATGTACGGGTTTTGTTCTTTAGCGAAAGAAACGACTCTGCACATCCTGACTGATTCTGGACCCTTAATGCGCAAACGTAACACATCTAGGAAACTATCTACTTCGCCCGGAAGAAGTGAAATTGCTTACAACTAAGCAACTCCTATGAAGACATAGGGCTTAGCAGTGAACTATAGCCATAGCAGCGATCACAATAGAGTGTTTTAGGTCGCACTGGTTTTTCTAAACCTGTATAGCTGCTCACATAAAAAAAGCTATGCAGTCTGAATCTATGGATTTACCAAAGGTGTCGTATTGTTTGAAAAATTTGTCAAAATTTTGAAACAGTACCGAGCCTTTTCATCTGCTCTAATAACAGATTGATCTAATTTTTAAACCAGCCCGATCCCGAAGAAAGAAAATATTATTGGTGTACGAAGCCATAGGTGAGACACCAACTGATCCTAAAGAATTGATTAAAATGAACGTTTTTTACCCTGTGATTGATACAATTAAAAGTGCATTTGTTACTTGACTTAAACTTCCAAAATTCTATGATACGTGTTCATTTTTTATACAAAATTAAAATAATTCTTAAAGGTCAAAAAGACTGAGTTGATTTGCAAATCAGTTGTACAGAATCAGGTTCAGGAAGTTATAAGCTTGAACCCATTATTTAAAGATCTTAAATCAGCAGAGCCTCATAAAGTTCTCAAACTTATTAAAAATAATGATTGGCAGGATATTTTTCCCAAATGTGTAGACAGCACTTCGTATCTTGCTGACTATACCTGTACTGGAACTGTCGCTAAACGGAAACGAAGTTTTAGTACATTAAAACATTTAAAAATTTACCTACATTTCTACTGTTTCACGCAAGACTGTCATATCTTGGAATCTTTTCCATAGAAAATTTTATTGCCCAGAAGTTAAATTATTCCAAATTAATTAAAAAATTGCAAGCGCATAAGCCAGAAAACTAGTTATTTAATCTTTTTAACACTGTCTGCATAACAACAGTTTAAATAAAAGTTGTCAAACAAGATTACTAACTCCGTAGACAGAGAAACCTATAGGCTAATTATTAGCGTGACCTCGAGTGAGAAAGGACGATAACGTAGTTATAGGTTATACAATAATCTTTATGACTTTTAAACATATTTGATAAAAATTTTAATTGTTCTAAGAACTGAACTGCACAAGATTCACCAATCTTAAGCTCACAAAACACTTTTTTTCTAATTTAAACCAACTTGTTAAGTCCTTAGATCGCTGCGAACTGTCAAAGCTAATTTAACAACTTTTAAGTCCTTAGATCGCTGCGAACTGTCACTTGTTTAGCAAAGTGTAGTTTGCTAAAAAAACCGGCACGGAGAAAGGACAAACAATCACACCGCTTGGTCTCATTTCTACGCAAGACGTATGCATAAATCTATCTTTTTCGTGTGTGAATGCGAAAGAAGGCGTCAATTTCTCTATAGGTTTCTCTGTCTGCGACTAACTCTTATTATGAGAAATAATCTGTACAACTAGTCACCGCAGCAAGGCAAGCATAGTGGGGTTGCCAAGCGCAACAGAGTAATGCGAGTGGATTTGACAACACACACAGAACAACTGCTATGGCAAGAGCGACAGACACAACTATGCTTGCCCCGCATATACACCTGGAGATATTTGATAGGTCTAATACTATTTAAAATCACGAGAAAGCAACTCCATAATGTAGAAACACTAAGATTTTGTATTTAGAGGGGCGCCACTATGAAATCTCGCACCACCTAATAATTTTGCTAGGACCACCACTGCTCATACGGATAAAGTCGATGCCATTTTTGATAAAGTGGAGCGAGATCGGCATATTAGTAATTACATAGCCGAGGAATTGAGAATTGACCACAAAACAGTTTTGACCTCTTTGGAAAAGTCTGGCTATACAAAAAAACTCGATGAATCGTGTACTCATTTGCGATTCTCTATTGAAACGTGATGAAACTGTACCATATTTGAAAAGATTGATCACTGGTGATAAAAAGTGAATCACCTACGACAGGAACGAGTGAAAAACATCATAGTCAAAGGGTAGTTAAGCTCCACATACTGTATCGAAACCCGGATGAACACGCAATAAGGTGATGCTGTGTGTATGGTGGGATTGAAGGGGCATCGTTTATTATGAGCTTTTACCGCCGGGCAAAACTATCGATTTGGATCTCTTTCACAACTTTGACGTTTCTTTCCACCACCATTGTGGATATTTTACGTATGGCATTTACGCAATTATGTGAAAAAGCTGCCATACTCACACCGTGGGAGAGGGTTTGTGAGTGCAACCCCTAATTACCGTTTTAGTCACACTAATTTAGCTTCCTTTGCATGTACTTTTGAGAGTTTTGTTTATTAATCAGCAGGGTTAGTTCATTCATACCTACAGACGAGATTGCATGCATTTGTTTTTTTATCGCAAGCCATGAGATTTTCCTGGTATTTTCCTTACCGACGAAACAGCGAAAAGGTCATTATAGATTCTTTAAGGGATAAGATGGTCAGAGTGTGGTTGGGCGATAATGTCAAACTACGCGTAATTGGCTATTTTTGTGCCCTCTTTATAAATATAACAATTTTATAATTAGTATTTATTAAACAGAAGAAAATTATTCGATATCTTTTACTACAAAAGTTTAGAACACTCGAGAGCAATTTGGTGTTTATTAAAAAAAAAACATGTTAAACATTTTATTTTATTCACTTTACTCGAGTACTTTATGATCTAAATTATATAAAATATCCTCAAGGTGTACCCCGGTGGAAAAGCAGCAATGGGTTTATTCTGGTATAACTTGTAGTTGTCTGCAGTTAAGATTTACTACACGTTACCGTTAGCCCTCACTAGATGGAGTGACTACCTGGTAAGACACGCAGGAAATCTATGAATGCAGGTGGCTCAAGACCGTGCTTTGTAGCATTTCTTGGGGTAGCCTATGTTTAGCAGTGGACTTGTGAAGGGCTGTAATGATAATGATGATGTATAATGATGATAATAATGTTGAATGATGATGATGATAAACTATGAGCTCGCTTGACTTTATTGTTAAATACGCTGTATTATAAAAAATAAATCGTATTATGGTCGCTTACCGCGGATTGTTTTAATTTCATAAAAATAAAAATAGACGAGCTAGACTGGCTGCCATTCAAATTCCATTGTATTTTTCTCTGATCTAAGAGCTGATACACATTTCAGCTCAACGAACGAATATTTAACAACATATTTACTTTGAAAGAAAATATGTTGTTAAATATTTTAGTGATGATTTTACGAATAAATATTTAAACAGTTGCTGATAGGGACGAGGGAGTGCCTGTAGATTTATTGGAGATTAGTATTTGTTGATTGTAATAATATTCAAAATGTTCAAAATATTTTAAAATCGATACACAATACGTTATAAATTTATAATTAAAAAAAATCTTTAAAGTTTGACTTATTATATCCCTATTACTAATACAAAAAAATACATTATATAATTAATGTATTTAACGCAAATATATATTTATATATCAAACTTAAATAATTTAATAATATTTAATCCAGTCTCAAAATTCATTCTTATACTTATATTGTTTATTTTAGGACAGAATCTTAATCAGCCGTGTTAAATAATGAGATTTTTTCATTTTTAAATTCTAATGTACATTTACATCAGAACCTGAAAAAATAAAATTTATTTATAAAAGCGATGTACAGACGGCAATAACATCGTATACTTATTTACAAACATGAAGTAGTTTAATTTTATTGTAATGCACAGTACATTAAAACATTAAAAAATGCAAAATCTTAAAAATTGCAGGAACAAACATTACATAGTATGTAGTACCAGACATCACAATGTACATTTAGACCTTGCTGCTTCATTCCCAATTTATTTCTGATTTAAGTAAAAAAACGGCTAATTATTTCGACTCTTTATAGCAAATAAGCAGTAAAGTAAACTATCCTACCAACTACTACCAACATTATAAATATATTAACAATTTTGAGCAATCAGAGTACCAAATGGCGTGTTGGTACTGAGATAAAAGCGATCCGCGCAAATTAAACTGTCTAGATACGAAATAATTTATCCACCAGTATGTCTTTTTCATGATTGCAAGAGTCCGTAAAAAATAAAACATAAATGCAATATTGCAAATGCTCATTTTATAATCTACTTAAATACGATCTGGAAATTAAGTTAATTGGCTTTTTATTATAATTTTAAACAAATATATGATAAGAAGTTCTTCATTAATGATTTGAAGATATTAAGTTATTAGTACAATTTTAATATGTTATATACATTGCAATGTCTGTTTTAATTTACAGTTGATTTTGTTATTTTTTTATATCACATAAAAATAGAAAATAAAACAGGAATAGAAAATAAATCAACAACATCCAATGAAAGTGAGTCCGAAATATCACAATAAATAGCAATCTACCTAATCACATAATAATTTCGAAAATTTATTAAAACTTAAAAAAATAACAATAACTAACATAACTTTAAACAATTCTATAATATGCAAAGTATATTACGTATAACATTTGGCACCTTAATTTCACTGTAAACTATGGCACAGAATCATGTCTTATTATGCAAATTTGGCACGATTTAGGAGCATTTTTACTGATCCCGTATTAGGCCCTTTAAAATTGTTTCAAAATACACTAATTTGAGGAACTTTGAGTTCACGTCGACACGGACGTGTTTTTTGGCTGGCGTTACGTGTGCATGACGGTGGTGCGTCGGGTGTAACCACGCCGCGCAGGGCCCGACCCTTGCGCCTCACATTCTCGTCGAACACGATCTATGATGTCAGCGACCAACTTTTCCTCACGAGTACGTTGCTCTTCCCAATCTGCTGTATTTTGTTGATCTAATGAAAAAGAAACATTATGATTTTACGTGTAAGTCTTTAAGTCCCTAATATATTAAATATTGTGGCGTGTATAAACTATTAAGACTTTTAACACCTTAGCCCCCTCGTCCCTTGACAAAGTACAAACCAACTTCAAAAGATTACTAGAATATCAACGATCTAAAATATTAATTAGCTAAAATTCACGTAAATGATGAGTTTTAAACTAGTTTTAAGTAGAGATGGGCCGAATATTTGTTTCATATTCGGTATTCGGCATATTCGGCAGCTTTACCGAATATTTGTATTTGGTCGAATATTTGGCTAAGTCACCGAACATTCGATAAAGTGGTACTCAGAGTCTACTGTATTAAAATGCATGAATTGAGTAATGCTATATATCTTTCATAATTTTACTATTGAAAGTATATTTTATTTATGGCTTAAATTTACTTGTATAGCGTTATGTTTTTAAGGTACTGTAGATTTATTTCCAATTATAGCAAATATAAAAGCTTTATAAAATGATTTTGGAATCATACAAAGAAACATTACATTACAATAGTACATTTCACTTAACTTTGGTTGTCAGTTTTTGTAAAATAAGTCCAAATAGTAGATCTCTTGGCACTCGTTTTTATCATATAATCATCAAATTTCGCAAAGAATAACACAACGAAATAATTTTCTACTTAATATTCAAAACGTAAGTATGTGCCGGCAATTTGCTCAGTACTAGATGATGAGCAAGGAGCAGGGTCCGGCGCTAATCCCACGCGCTTTACGGTAACAAGTTTCGACATAAATTAGTTAGGTACCGAGGTGATCCTGCCGAATAATGTTCAGCCGAATATTCGATTCGGTAAAAGTTTTACGGAACTTTCGGCCGAATATTCGTATTCAGTGAAATCCATATTTGGCCCATGTCTAGTTTAAACTGCACCCCTCCCGCGCTCCCTCAATTGCATGCAATATTATTTGTTTAGGAGAGACAGTGCCTTTGTGTCTATCCTAGTGTAGCCCTAGTTCACGCAATTGAAGGAGGGAGCGATCTTAGCAAATTAATGTTTAAGATTTTTATTATAATGGATTTCCTCAAAGTAACGCCTGATTCTATTAATTACTAGAATGTCGTCGCAATGATACTGTTACCGTTACAGCCTGATAAAAGTCCACTGCAGAACGTATATTTACGCCATGGATTGCCTCGTAGAAGTGGAATATTTGCCATGATTACTTACTAATGCTACAGTTATATTAAAATCGTTATATCTTATTTAACTATCTACACTTAGGGACCGGCGTTTTCTTTAAAGTATTATGGATATAGTGGAATATATGTAGAACCTTTCCATTTTTAGAACTCGGTTAAAATAAGGTTAAATCAAACGGAATAAAATCCGTAAAGCTAGTCGTTACACATCCTAATATAGAGTACTAAAAAACCTAATCTATATAACCAATTTCCTAAAAATGATTGTTATATTTTTGTCTAACTTTGTTTCTACAATATATATATATATATATATATATATATATATATATATATATATATATATATATATATATATATATATATAACCGTTCTAGGCTGTTAAAGTCCACTGCTGAACATAGGCCTCCCTCATAGATTGCCTCATACATCCTACTCCCTCATGGCCGGGGATATTTGCCATATTTGCCACGCTTAGCACCAGGGTTGGCAACCGCAGTTTCTTTATTTTAGTCGTTAGTAGGAAGATGTTGCTGTCCATGTCCTGGTTTGTTTGCCTCTGTCGGCTCTTATGCCACCCACGGGGACGATATGGAGTAGTGGATATATTTATCCACTACTCCATATCGTCCCCTATTATATATCCTCTATTATATAATATTATTGTAAGTAAATAACAGTATATATATTTATATAACGAAAAATAAGTAAAAATAAGTAAAAAAAATTGTTAAACGTGGTAGAGCTACGCTGCAGCTATATTATGATTGTAGCACGAATGGGTCAGCTCGAATGGGAAAGGACCACGCTCTCACAACATACCAGCTTAATGCTGCTGTCTTTCGTATGGTGATGTAGAGAACCGAAGACCCGTTACTACTACGTTACTGAAATCGAGGCATTCCATCTTAGTTCTCAGGGGTGACAACGAATCTCATTTTGATTCTTGATTTGATGAAAAATCTGCATTTTGATTCTTAATCTAGGTTAAATGTAGATGTCCATGATGCATGGCAATGATGCAATGGCCAGAGCATCAATCCTTCTTACCATCAGGTGGACTGTGTGCTCGTTTCTCAGTAGTATTAAGTAGTTTCAAGTATTATAAATTGGATCTACAATAGACGGGCTACATGCACAATCCCGACTTGGCTTCTCGAACATTCGGCTAAATCACCGAACATTCGGTACTAGATGATAGAGCGATTGGCAGGGTCCGGCGCTAATCCCGCTTTTCGACATAAATTGGTTAGGTATCAAGGTGATCCTGCCGAATAATGTTCGGCCGAATATTCGGTTCGGTAAAAGTTTTACTGAACTTTCGGCCGAATATTCGTATTCGCTGAAATCCATATTCGGCCCATCTCTAATATATATATATATATATATATATTATATATATGTATATTTAAGAATCAAATATTTAGACCGTTTATCCCGTTATTTGTAAGAACGGAAATAAAAAAAAGATTGGTTAGTTAACAATCGTATAATTTTTTTCCACCGACGATTCTTCCTGATTCTTTCAAGTATCCAGATAATACCAGAATTTTTTTTATTTTTAAAATAACATTATGTTATAAAATTTTATATGGTGTAGGTACTTTCTCTGTATGGTGTACTTTCTTTGGCTACACGCACATGTAAAGGGAAACCCTATTTTCATTGTTAAATTACAATTATAAATAATGGAGATAGAATTTTGGGACTTGAGACTTTCTTATTGGAAACTTCCTCTTATTTAAGAATATTTTAAATCAAAATCAAACGGGACTTGTGACTTTCTTATTGGAAATTTCCTCTTCTTTAAGAACATTTTAAACCAAAATCAAAATTCCTTAAATATTCGTTTTTGAGTTAATAACAAAAAAAACTGGATACTGTTTTTTTTTTTCATCTTATTTTGTTAAGAACAATTACAATTTTTTCCATGCTAATAAGACCTTAGAATACATTTTTCCAGAGATCATTTCAAATCCAATGAGCTATCGTTCATATTTTTAGGAGCTTTATGTCTATTTTTCATGTTTTTCAACTTGTTGACCAGACTAGTAGCCATATGGCCTATCGTTTGTAGCTGCGAAACAATTATTAGTCCTTGAGAATTCCATTGCATTGGCACAATTTTAATCTCAACCGGCTGATAGTTTTTATCTTATAAAGGTTATGTAAGTACATAAAACATAAGCTACTTTAATATTAGAAAAGATTTTCACATTGTATATACAGGCATAAACGTACATATGATTTTGATACTTGTTACGCGACTTCAGATTCATATAACTGCTTCTACAACAAATATCATAGAATATGTACAACGTCTTCTTGTAAAATCTTCCCAACAATAGGAGATACCTACGTCCAGCAGTGGAGATAATTTCTGAGGTCACAATATGCCGTTCATATACCTTTCACTGCCGTTAGCCCTTGGGCAAAAAAGTTTTCAAGTACCAATCTCATATTGAAGTAGGACGAGTTAATGGAGAAGTTGGACGTGGCCAACTCCCGCTATAGGAAGGATCTGTCTCTACCACTTAATTATCAAAGGGCCTGGTCATTTTACGACTATAAGAGAACTACCATTAAGGTTATATTACCATCCATCGCAAACTATAAGATTTGCTGGTATTTCCTATAGTCACCATTTTGCGACACCAACAAGGCGTTATGAAGTGATATATGTAAGTTACTTTTACGCCGTCACCAAACGACTCGCACGAGTGAAATTTACAAGTATCTAGCGAACATATATCTTCTATCCTTACATAGAATATTCATATTACGTAGCGAAATATTCACTGAACACTTCTTCATAGCTTTTTCAATTCTTAAAATTAGAGTGCAAATCTATGTATATATGAGTTTAAAAGTTTTAAGCTAATAAAGAGACTGACGCGAATAAGTGATTATACCAGTTTGAAAAATAATATTAATGGTGATGTTACGTATGACGCGAGAAAATAACTGAAAACCTTTTTTTAATAGTAATTTGCGAGTTATTCCATCTTACTCCTTAGGGGAAATAATGCATCTGCATTTTGATTCCGAACCGTGGTTAGATGTAGATGTCTATGGGTCCAGAATCCAATTATTATAAGGTGGTCTGTGCGGTCTTAAGTCACCTTCACTTCCACAAAAACCTATTTTGTTTTATACTATTTAGTAATCAGAGCCAAAAAAGTCTGTAAGTCTCAAATGCCGTAGAACGTAGCCACAGAAGTAATTCGTATTATACTATAGCATTGTTAATTACCTTTGTTATTTTTACATTGTCGTTTTGAGTCCAACTGTTTCGTCGACTGTTTCGCAACAGACTGATAATTTGGCAGGCTAGATTTTGGTATTGCCAGTTCCGGATCCGTTCCGTCCTTCATCTCCGATTGCGTCTGGACTTGCTTATCGAGTGCTTCTGTTTGCGAATTTGTTGACACAGGACTAGAGTCCGACAAAACTTCGCTATGCCTGCTGGCTACGTGACCATTAAACCCTAAAATAACAACTTAAATATATTAAGGGAAATAGAAGATAAAAAGAAATGTACATGTTGTCGGCCAAGCTCGCTGTAGTACGAAATAGTAGGTATTGTCTGGGCTAAACTAGTTTTGCCTAAGCCCGATAGCTTCGATCAACAATACCAACTAGATAACGGGTCACGTACAAAATCGTAGCTAAATACTGTCCGCGTGAATATAAACTTAACTACTACATTATTACTAGAAATGAGACAAAATTAAATAGTTTTAAGTAACTTAGCTATTAGTACAAATTCGATCATTAGTCACATAAAAAGAACAAAGCTATACAATACTCCTATCACTTGGAAATGAAAAGTCATAAATTAAATAACCTTTGGTGTGAAATCAACCTTAATGTGTAACAAATAAAGTTTTTTCCCGTTATTGCCTTGCGAGCTACGTCATTTTGTTATGTTTCTGTTTTCTTCTTCGAATTTGGTCCAGGAAGTATTGAGTCGCGTTGAACACTAAAATAATTTATAATATGATCATAAGTTTAATTAAAATTATTTTTGTTGTGGGCATTTATGATTGTTGGTATACATACTTTCCACACTAGCCATTAAATATAATATAGTATGCAGTATATTGATTGCATTTAATTAACTATAGTTCGGCCGTTCAGAGAATGCGTTCCTGACACGTCGCGATTAAACTGACGACGTAACTTTGTAATGGCATTGCAGTTACGATAAAAATATTTTTGCTGGTTGTTTACCGTTTTAACAATTGATGAGCATTAAAACAACATTATTATATCTATAACCAATGAATGTTATAATTTTGTGCCAAACTGAGTGTCAAATAACTTGGTAAACAATATTTTTCTAAATCTATACTGCGCTATTACAAGGTTATGTCAGCGCTTTATATTTGTAGTGCTGTGCTAACAATAACAGGCAATAACAGTATCGTAATCTGTTCTTATACGGTTATACTTTATAAAATAATACGTTTTGTTTTTCTTTTTAAGAATTTTAAAATAATTTTAAAATAATGGACTATAAGATAACTTTTATTAAATATAAAAATAAAACTACGACCAAACCGAACGCGCGAAAGAAAGTAGCATTTTTATATTTAGGTTGAAAATGGTAACCCCATTTTGTATTGCATTAAATTAGTTAAAGAAAATAAAGCGGCAAATGTGCGATACGAAATCGATGAACTGCCTCTGGAGTACGGTCATCGTTTCTAAGAATTCCACCGTATCATTGCCAATATAACGCGATTGAGCTAATCTGGGCTCAAATAAAAGGTTACGCCGCCTGCCACAATACTTCCCCGCCATTCAGCACGAAAAAGATGATGACTCTATTAAAATAAGCCTGCGGGGAAGTCACAAGAGATAACTGGGCAAAGGTTGTTGAGAAGACTAAAAACCTGATTGTGGAACATTTTGACCGAGATATCAGGATTGATTCTGTTATTGATAATAATATAATTATACATGTAGGCGAAGATGATGATGAAGACACCACCTCCTCAAGCGAATCGGAGTCTGATTAATATTCTGTACGCACATTCAATTCAATGTACTTTATTGCATAGAAATACAGATTGTAACTTTGTAACAAAGAATAAATAAAACAATTTTATTTTATTAATATTACCTTTTTTTGGTTTCCACTTAAATTACTAAAATATAAATTTTAAATGATTCCGCCAATTTAAAACGAAAATAATCTTAAAAATAACGCGGCGGTTCATTTTGGAGGAACGGTAACGAACTCAGTGTTATGTTGTGCCCATCACTAGTCGTGACTAACTGATAGGTGTCAGGAACGCATTCTCTGAACGGCCGAACTATAATTCAATATATATCTATTTTAGTTATTGTAAGTATATACGTTCGTAGTATGTATGTATCTATGTATAGTATATATACATATGTGTATTCTTTTTTATCACACCAATTTGCCCTACACCTGTCATCTTCATGTAATCCTCTCCATTTATTGGTTGTCTGGAAGAAATTGCTCTCGGCAATAAGATCGCCCCTTGCATACTTTTGTAGCACTAATGGGTCGGCTCGACCGGGGAAGAAAGCTAGGAAAGCTAAAAATTTTTTTTATTGTTGGTATTGTTGATCGAAGCCCGATAGGATCAAATAAACGTATGCGACTTTGGCCGCAACTCAACCTACTGTCGTTGATATTACTTGAGAAGTGCTTTTGATTTTTTGTTTTGTTTTTAACATTTTCATTTACTTATTCTAAGGTACAATTTTAATTTTTATAACTTCCTAGTACCCATTAGGAATTATATACAATGCCTAGGAAATGCATGAACTTCCTTTAATAAATCGTGATATTTTGTTATATCTGTATCTGAGGTTATTCAATTTTACCTTCTTTTTTACATACTAAACTTTTAGCTGTCTCGTTGACCTAATAGTAATAAACGAGACTACTGACCATGAGGTACCGGGTTCGAATCCCAAATCGAGCCGAAGAAATCAGTTATTGAGAGATTTCTTGACAGAAAAAAGTTGACTGTGTTTCATCGCCGAACAGAAACCACGTACAGCCATTGGCCGTCCCATCAGACTATAGGAGTGGGAAGAGGAGTACACCTGTGCTTCCGCATACACTCGGACACTATAATCCTGTTCTGCGCAGATGAATATTTGGTGAAGACTGACCACCATGACTGAAATTTGGTCCCGATAACACGTGTTAATTATTACACACTTAACATACATTCTTACTGAACCCACCAAACAATGTGATTTTTATGTCTCAGGGGTCGCAACGCATCCTGCTTAGCATAGTGTAATATACTATATTGGTAACAAAATTCATTCTGCCTCGTAGGATAAAAGGTTTCTTAGCCTTTTCGTTAGACAACTTTTACCAGATACTTTTAGGTCAGGTTACTTGAACGCAGTGGCAATTTACTTAGCCAATAAAACAAGTACGTTATTATCCGTTCAGGCCCACTGAAAACCAGCGCTGTTGCTCCGGCGACAGCATAAGCTGAGTGAGGTCCGTTTGTATGACGCGCCACAACATACTCGTACAATATGAGAAACGATTCTTTTTGTCTTTCTATTTTTTTTTTTTTATTTTAAATTATAATCTATAAGTATTAATACTTTTAAATTGTTTTATCCGTCGAATTGTGGTTTTGTTTCCTATTTTTGTTTTTTTTTTGTTATAATGTTTATAATTGATGTGTCAAAATTTAAGTGCCTACTGATGTTTGTGGCGTGCTGCAATAAATCTTTCTTTCTTTCTTTCTTTCTTTCTATAATTTACACAAACAGAATTTAAGTATAAAAAATTAAACAATGTTTTCCTTATTATTTATTTTTAGTTTCTGTTAATACTAACCTTTTCTGCTCTTGAAGAAAACAAGACACTGTTCACACTGAAACAGTGGCGCTGGATTTAACGGTTGCATTACATGAATTTTGTATTTGTGCCTATACCAGTGCGTTCGGCTTTGTAATATCTCTCCACATAGCTTGCATATCACACTACCGTCGTTCCGAGTCATGTATTCCAAGAGATCTGTCCTCGCTTTCGAAATATTTACGTGGTCTGATTCTTTACTGTCGCTGGTATCGTTTCTTGTTGACTCTATTTTTGGATTCTCTGTTTCAAAATGAACTCCTACAGCTTCTTGGGTTTCTCCAGTTAACTGTTGGGCTTCGTTTGTTAAATCAGTTTGGTCGAAGTTTTCAGTCTGTGATATATCAGAGAGAACCTCTAAAGTGATTAAGCTGTTACCTTCTCCATCATCTTCATACGTGTACTGAAAATCTGAAAAAATTGATAAGTAATATTTTGGTTACAATTTGCCCTAAAATGTAAAATAATACATAAATATAAACTGGTTTGATGGTTAATTATTATTATCATCTTCAGCTTATTCAGAAACTGTTACATTAATTTTAATAAAAGTGTAGTTACAGCGTAATGTACGTCTCACTGCAGGACACAGGCCTCATCTTATTTCTGAGATGATTATGGAGCGATTAGTGCGGTGACTGTTGGCGGACTTCGTTTCCTTAAAATATATTGTTTCCTCCGATATGCAGGTTCTCTCACGATGGTTTTCTTTACCGCCAATGCGAGGTAAATTAGGACTTAAAATTAAGGTGCCGGCGGGATTCGAGCCCAGTCCAGGTTGATATCGTACAGTAAAATTTATGGCGTGCACTTACCCCCTGTACTAACACGGCTAATTTTGAATGTTTCCTTAATTATATAAGTTTAAATACTTACTTATGTAATGTAATAATGCTAAAATTACGACACTGTTCAAAACGATGAAGGCTGTATTTTGTTTCCACATGAGAAGCAAACGCAGAGAATTCTCCCAATTCAATATCACTAATGAGTTTTCAGGGGCCATGCTCCATACATGCTTTTGGATTGTATATAATATACAGTTCCTTCGCTGTAACAAGATCAGGCCACCACAAAATGGCTCCTTTCCTTTTTAACACTTTAGTGCACAGAGTAAATAAACAAATTCGTAGTTTTTAATTTTTTATTTTACATGAATCATTTATTTGCAGTGTACACTTTTTTCTCATTAACATTTAATACGCTGGTAAAATTCGTTCCCTTATAATATTGTCTACTTAATTTTTGTTACAGTTAAAAACATTCTTTTGCGTGGTTTACATCAATTGTTAAAGCTTTACTGTTTGCAATTATCGTAAGTGATCACAATCAAGAATATGATCCAATATGATCGCAAGAATTAGATTGGAGTGGGTGAAATTTAGTTAAAAATTATAACTAAACAAGACATAACTTATAACTCATAAAATAAACACTGTAGAATATATAACGTATATTCAGCGGTTATCTATAAAAAGAATACTTTATAGAGTGGTTACTCATGTCAAAACAACAATAATCAATTTCTATATGTTTTCTCTGAATTATATACTATTTTATAGTTTTCTCTACAATTTAGTTATTCTATGCATATAATCTTGCTAGGTTTAAAATAATAGGGAAACATGAAAAGCTACTCAAAATAAAAATTAAATATAGGAGAACTAATAATACTAAAATGCTACTTGTGTTGATTTACACCACAATAAATATCATTTGATCTGCATTTTAGATAACTATTATAATAGAATATAGAAAAAATAAACAACAGTTGAATAAAACATTGCACATAGGTTAAGTGTGAAGTAGACTTGCAAGGAATATTCGGCTATTATTCGGTAATCGGCCTATTCGGCTACTTTTATGATATTCTGCCGAATACCGAATATTTAAGTAAAATGTTATGTTGTGGTCACATAATTTATAAAATGTAAATATTGATTTATTTTATAATAATGTATTTTTCTTTTAATCATAAAAAATAGTCTAAAGAACATAACCTATCAAATAAATGTCTATATACTTAAATATCGTAACTAAAATTTAGAAGATTGATACAAAAAGACAATTATTTTCTTGCATTAGTAGTCAATAGTTTCCTTCATGTAGACTATCCCAGCTTGAGAGAAAAGACGCTCTGTAAAAACACTACTTTCTTCCCGCCTGAATACTTTTTCCTAATATTTAGATATTCGGCCACGAAGTCCGCAGAATATTCGATATTCGGCGTGTGGCCGAATATACTATTCGTTGCAAGTCTAGTGTGAAGTATTCGTGCAAATTTACTTGGTTTGAAAGAATACTCTATAAAACTCCTATGACAATAATCTGTACCATTTCTAGATGTTCCATTGTTCAGAATTTAGAATTAAAGAGGAAAATTTAAAGTGCTATCCAAAAATGGCTTATTTATTAAATTTAGCGACACAATCTTATAGCGGTTAATAATATAACAATAATAATTTGTTGGAAACTCAGTTAAAATTAAAATGGACAAAGAAATTATGTCATAGTAAGTGTAAGTTGCAATGTTATTTTGCAAAGATACGCTTACTTTTTAATAATAATTGTAGACATTTTTAAATCTTAAAATTTTAATAAAAATATGTTAAAAACTATGTTATAAACGAACTATATTCTTTATTTAAACGTATCCGTAGACGCTATATGTATTTTATAATGTTAGAGCCAAGCACGTGATGTCTATGGCCTATAATAATACTTATGACGATTACCTTTCAATATATAAAGAACTATACATTTAATTAAGCTGCCTTGCAGCATGTGGTTAGAAAGGAAAGGAAAAAATTATAATGATATAACAATGAACATGAACAGCCAACTTAGTTAGCACTAATATCACAAAATAAAATACTACAAAAAGAAAAAAAAAACAAATCACCGCTTAAACTCTTTTTCGAAAATATTGCCGGTAAAGAGAAAATATTAATAAAAGATATAAAAAAAAGAAAAACTAAGAAATATTTCTTTGTGCAGGAATCATTAATGCAAACGATTAATTTGTGCGACAAACTGGCGCTGATATATCTAAATAAATCACACTGCAATTGTTAATACCTTAATGGCGATATTAAATCTATTATAATTCAATTAATACACTATGTACAAAACTCATATCTATCGACCCTACATAAACTTAACGACGAACTTAATGTTGTGCGTTCAGTTTTCAAACACAAAAAAACTCCAATTACAACCAGTATTTTAAGTAGGTAATCGAATAGCTGTAATCTATATATTTATATTTTAACACTAAATAAATTGCTCACCAATTTTTCTTTCGATATTCATAAATTTAAATTTACTCCTAAATGGAGATTTGTTAACCTCGAACGATAACTTAAAAGTAACATGGAGTTTAGTAGTAACATTAACTAACAAACACTATATCCCTTATCAATGGAAGAACTGCTGATTGTCGTTTTCTGTCCTAGTCATTGAACTAGAACATAATTGTTAAAACTATACTATATAATGAAAGTTTATTGTTGGAAACAATGGTTAATACAAGTAAACGTGCTATGGCACTAATATATTTTACGTAAGCATTCAGATATTTCTAAACCATAACATCTCTCGATATCGATAAAGATATGTAGATATAATATACTGTAACAATAGACTCAGTAATAATCGTATATTTTTATAATCTAAGTTAAAGTCTTTAATTAGAACAGACGGTTAAATATTAAACTATATTTATATACCTATCCTTAAAACGTCCGCAAGTGAATAACTTTTGCCATCGCAACGAACACAATCTTACTTGATATATGACACGGGCAACTTATATCAGAGAAATAGTTATTCTAAATCTCGATTTAGTATTGCGAAGACGGATACAAAAGTTAATTACAGTCTTTGGTCGGTGTCTTGCGGTATTTCAACAATCTATGATTGTAAAAAGCGAAACGAAGTCGCGAAGGGTCTTTACATATCTCTACTTCCGGTGTCTGCACAAGTTTTTAAATAACTATTTTAATCATCACAATTAATATTAATATACCGAAACCGTTTTAATAACAGAATTTTGACTTGGTTTTGTAGTTATTGTTTAAATTGTGCTTTTAATTGGTCAAATGTAACTGTAAAACAAATTCAGATTCTGTTTTCGATTCTAAATAAACTCCACTCAGCAAATCCCTGGAGTGGGGTTCATAAAACTTTATAAATTGAGGGCACTTTCCAGACTTGCACAGCACCTATAAACGCTCAATATTTTCGCCATTATAACATCACATAACGCCGTAATAACCGCGTAACTGGCCTCCTTTATTTTATTGTATGTATATTTATTGTCTAATATTTGCACAACCATACTCTTTAAACAAATTTAACATTAAGAACTCTTTGTAACAAACATTAGATTTTAAATGCATAACAGTATCATTGGAAATATACGTCGCGTACAGTAGAAGTGTACGTCAAAATTTTACTCCAAAAATAGTAAAAATATTATGTCTATCAAACTCAAGATCCTCTTATAGCTATATAGAAAACTTATCTGAAGAAAAATATTATTTAAAACAGTTAATCAAGGCACTTATACTCGGTCCTAACATTTGAAGTGGAAAGATGGGGGCATGTGTGACATTTCTTTAAACTTGCGTAGGATCAGGAGAAGAATGCGAAGGTGTAGAGCCGCGAGGCGAACCAGAACCGATGGCTTCTAGCTTTAGCCCTGGCGGCAGTTGACCTTCCATTCCTGGTATCATGAAAAATGCGTTAGTTGGATAAACACAATCTTTTGGCACGTAACAGTCGTGTGTTGTTTTCATATGGTTTTTCATTTTGTCGGGTCTCGAGAACTCCTTGCAGCATACGGGGCACGGAAAGACTTTTCTTTGTTGACCCTCATGGTAAAGAAAGGCGTGCCGCTGGAATGAATATTTGTTTTTGAATGTCTTCTGGATGTTTTCTTTAGCGCACTCTATGCATTGATATACCCCCTCATTTACGGAAGCGTATCTGAATAAGTTTAGGCCCCGTACCGACATTTCCGTCAGTTGCTCCGCTGGGTCGTTGGAGGCAGAGTTCGCTCTTCTCCGTAATCTTCTCCTGGCAACAGGTCTTTGGTTGCCACCTGTTTGTAAAGTATTATTATTAATAGAGTCGTTATGATATTCCCCAGACGTTGAAGCGTTCTGTGTCACGGGGTTTACACGTATTTTTCCATGTCCTTCGCTTGACGGGGACTGTGCGTATTTTATATCTTTAGTGTCAAGTTCGGGTGTGCCACGTCCTGAAACAGTGAAAGTAAGCTTTATGAAATGTTCATATAATGTATTAAACAATATATTTGGTATAATTTTCTACATTGTACGTACATTTTTGGCCACTATCTACTTTAAATAAATAAAAAAGTAGAAATAAGGAAGGTAAAAAAAAACAAAAGACGAAAATATAATAATATTTATTTGTTCAAATTGAATGACGGAATTTATTACACCATGAATAAAAAAATGAAACAATGAGCGATGGAACTGCTTCATGGATGAATATGCCGCACAGCCACGGTAGCCCAAGCTAACACAGTAAACAACCATCACTTGACATACGAAGTACGTGGCAAAATATAGCACCAAGTTAATTAACTTTATACCATTATGATAATGTATAAATGGCAGAGAAACAAATTCATCCATGCAATAAATTCTAAAATAAAATATATAAAACTAGGGAAACAAAAATTCGAATATAAGACGAATTGTTATCAAACATTTACTCCCACGCATTTGTAGGTATGATAGATTTCTTTGATGTGCAAACTAAATCTCTACACAACACTAGGCAGTGTAATTTAGAAACGTTTATTTGTAGTGGTCAAATTGTAGCAAATTCAAACATCTTAAACTATTTATAACTTTTATGCTAAGCAATAAATTAAAAAAAATGTAACAAAAAAGAAGTTTCTAACTATTTTATAATAGGACTCAAAGTGATTGCATTTGGAACTATTTCGGCAAGTTCGGTAGTAGGTACATAATTATTACAAAAAACAACGTTCCAGCTCACTCAGTTCATAAGATCACAAAAGGTGGGTTATTGAGTTGAAAATGAAATATAATTGTAGCTTCAATTTAACATATAGTTACAAAATAAAAAGTTTATATTGTGTAAATTAAAATAATAATCGAAGAAAACAGAAATTAAAACATTAACAAGAATTTAATATATAAAGCCTCTGTATCTATAGATCGTAACAAAGAAAACGTTAAAAGTAAAATAAAATCACAAAAGCATTTATTTGTACTGAACCAAAAATACTTGATCTCGTATAGCGTCATTTTGAGCAACATAGAAAGCATATTGTTAAACATTATCTAGCTCTAACCACACCAACTACGAAACGAGGGTAGTATCATTATGATTACATACCTACCTGATCAGTCCTCTCTTCGTGACTACAAATTTTCTAGATTATAGAAAATTCACTCCATTGTTAACAACACAAATTATGCCTAAAGTATTTATAAATAACTTATTCTAATCTTTACTAATAACCCGTGTTGTTACTTTGCTACTATTACAATTAAATTTATGATAAATTATAATTTAAAATCAATAGCATCGTCGTTGCTTATATCACCAATAACAGTAATATGACCGTTTTCAACAGCGACGCGAAATATTTATAGATACGTTGTATGTATAGAAAAGTAGTCTACTAAGTAATAAAAATTATAAAACTGAACTTTTAAGTTTCAAAAGGTTTTGTTTCTCTTTTCTAGCTCCCATATTCTAAGTTCTTGTTTTCAGAACATCTCTCGTGTTTCTTTTTAATGAGTAACAATTTATAGTACAATAAATATATAAGTGTTTGTGAAAATAATATAAACGGATCGAATCTATACCTCAGATCAACAAGGAAGAACACAATAAACGTTCCAAGTGACCCCAAATCATGCACAACTTTTTGACTCGCACTCACGCACACTTCTTTTTTCTTTCTTTAACAGTCATATAAGTCCACTGCTCGACACACATTGAACTTAAAGTCAAATTGGTAGTTGCAAATTATATGCGTAAGCGCGTGTTTAATTATAAATTGAGCACGGTTTTGACAGGGTCTATCTTACTTTGTTGATCTGAGATCTATACATACAAACGGAATCTATATATTTCGTTACACTGGATATTTGAATGTAAATTCAAATTAAATTATTTACAAAACTATTTAAGACATAGTAATTTCAGGGCCACATTCGATAAGTACTTGGACACCCAAACAACTTCATACATGACGTATGAGGTAAAACAATATAAGGTAAAAAATATAAAATAATAACAATTGAAACGTAACCAAACGATAACATGAATTCAAAAGATTGTCTAATTTTGCTGTAACTTTTATTATTCTCTTTAAAGATTCTAAAAATAGTAATTAACACCTTATATTTATACTGATGAAATTTTTCATTAACAAATAATTCTAACTGTCGTGTTGTAACTTTCTGTTCTAATCTCCATTTGTCTAAATAATTACTCTTTGCGTTTTCTATTGTCTAAGTGCGTAACGAAAAAGATATGGATTTAACATTTGGCTAAAGACTATAATGTAATAATATATCGATCGTTCTTATTTTGTGAAGCTAAACAATTTTATGTAGTATATAGATCTATTTGATTCTCGAATTACTTTATCTGTACCCTTTTATCAATATCTTTTGTATTGATAATAGTATGAATGTTCTAAAATAAGGCAAACAGTCAAAAACAAGTTATGCGATTGGAAGTTATTTAAAATTAACTGCTGAAAAATAATACCAAGTAGGTTTTTGTCATAATATATTAAACGGAAAACTAATTTAGTTAAAAAAAACAGTTAATTTTAAATATCCTTTACATTAGCATTTAAAGTAATCCTTTTAAGAAACTAATAAATTTCCACAACATTACATACATTACGAAATAGGTACACGTTGTTAAACGTGGGCACGAAATTGGCCCCATTTATTTATCGAATAGATAAACTTCTTCATTTTAATAAATCTCTGTTCTATTGCAACTACATTTTATATCATCTCAAGATTTTGAAAACACTATAAATCATTTCAGTTTTATTTTTGCTAAGTTCCGTACTGTATTTCTAAGTTCTTAATGAAAGAGAAATCGAATGAGTTACAAATAAATGTTAACCCCTCTAAATGATTTTATTAGATTTTATAATTATTGTGATACGGATATAATTAATTTGAAGAAAATATATATTTTAATTAATAAATATTTCTGTACCTAAGTATTAAATAGCTGAATTTCTTAAAATAGTAACACTGCAAAAATTTAATTTCTATAGTTCAACAAATTATAGGTACTTTAAAGAAATATTGACTGTGTACGAGCCAACAACAATAAGTACATAGTCTATAGGTTATGAATCTGCAATAAATATGATATTACTTCTCTGTTATAAAATAAACAGTTTAATAGCTTTGTAAGTATGAACTGCAAACATAATTCCATTTGTTAATCTATTTGCCCTTACAGAAATGGAATCTTTATATATTCGAAATAACAATTCAACAAACAATATATATATATATATATATTTAAATATATAAGGGACAATATTTTAAAACGTCGCATCACATGTGACATTTTCTTAAGTTTAATTTAGCACCAATCGATGATATAGCTTTAACAATATTAAATAATGTTCATTGTCATTAAAATTATGATATAACTCTGTTGTAATATAAATAAACTGTTATATCTACAACTTAAAGGAACACTGAAAATGTACGTTTGCATTGGAATTTCCAAATACGTTAGGCTTAGGCACTGACTAAATTGACTATTAATATGAATTTATGTAATTTACGATTCCATTCATAGCCCCACCTCTAATTAAATATATTTTCCTTTCTTTTTTTAAGTACCTAACGAGTTCCGTGATAAATTTCGTATAAATTTTATGAAAGGTAGGTACAATAAATTCGTTTTTTTTAATGATTTTTTAACAGTCTTCAATTTGATTATTTAGGCGCCTTTGCCTTCAAATCTTACAAATTTTTTAAGTTCATTTACAAGTCGTTTTAAATTTCCAAGAAAATGGGAAACATGAGATGATATTCTTACGTACAACTATCAGTGTTAGGTATAATTAACTACTTGGGCCTAGAGGTTACTATATTTCTAAGGAAGCTTCTTAAAGTAGATTTGTAAACTCTGAATAATGAAAATAAATAATTATACATAATATTCTTTGAATTTCTTAGTAACCTAGTAGTTGTAGTAATTTAACTTATTATTACAAGTAAAGGCACACTAATAGGCAAGCGTTCCCTGGACTCTACCTAAATTGGAAACTTTTTTTTTCGGGGTCAACAACATAGTTAATTATATTGTAGTACTAATACGAATAGAACTTTATGCATTTGAAAAGATGTATCTATATCGATAACTATCCAGTAATCGAAACGAAATATGTGACTATCGATATTACACATGGAAGACTACATTCGAATCTAAATTAAGTAAACATTTATAAGTACCACATTCCTTACTATATTAAGGCATTTGATTTCTAATAAAATATAATTTATAAATCATCTCATGATTCCAGTATTTAAACACGTTATTTAATTTCAAAGCACCTTGCTTCAATCACTTTGACGACAACACACGTGGTACCATTTGATATATTTACACATATTAACATCTACAAATAATTTGGGATAATATGTATTTTTTACTAAAAAATTGAAATTAAATAGAACATTCTTTGTCCTTATATTGTGAAATGTTCTAATATATTTTTACTATCATATTGTCGTTGACGGAAACTAAGATTTAATATATAGTATATTCTTTTAAAGAAATTTGCCTTTCATACAAAATAATAATCATCGCCGTGGTTCATAATCTGCTATTTAAATATTTTAAAGCTCAGATAGAACTGCAAATATATTGGAGGAACTGAGTCTAAACTACCTTTTCATATAACGGAGATTTTTAAAGATATTTTTATAATTTCTCATGTCATAAATACGTAGTTTACAATCGTATTGCATAATATCTATTATATCAATTATATTAACATTGATAAAATATTTTAAATTAATCTTAACAAAAAACCTAGTAATTATCATAGCCCGTGTTGAGTTTTACTTCGGAGAAGTTATTGTATTACATCTAAGATCACTAATAAGGCAAGTTAAATGAAAATGCATTTCACACCACTACTAAATGGCATAACGATATTCAACCTTTTTGTAAAAAGCATCAATTAGCCTCTTCCTTAAGATTTATCTGTTTTAATATAATATCGTCTTACGTGTAGTATAAACTATAATTTTACAAAAAGGCCGCGCCATTGGTATACTTGTAATCGTAACTTCTAATACTATACTAACTACATAATTCAGTTCAATGAGAATTGCATGTAATCCAAAAGACTACATTTGTTAAAATCACCATGAGTAAGATTACTTTGTACCCTGAAATTTTTGTAAGTAATAAAATTAAGTAACAAGTGAGTGCAAAATAACAAGTAAATTATAGAAATCACCATAAATCTCTTTCTTGTTCAAGCACTCCAAGAAAGAACAAATGGAACAACATAAATAAATAGATAAATATAACAACAAACGACGTACTGTCGCTAATATCAACAAACTTATTGATACATTCGTGAAATTTAGAGTTCGAACACTTATTCGATTGCAATCAACTATAGCTGCTTTGATATAAATTCAAATTCTATTACTTATAAACGAATCCTACTCGATAAATCAGATCTGTATTACTTCAAAAGTAATTTAAGTAGCTGAGTATAAAGCTTTTGTTTTGAATTAAGACTCCTGCTTTGCCATCTGCTCATTGACGTTTGGTTGATTTTTGTGTATTATTTTCAGGTGCGCAATCATGTTATCCTTTCGAGTAAATTCTTTGAAGCATATCGGGCAAGGGAATACTTTCACATCTTTTTTGTGGGATGTGACATAGTGACGACAAAAGTTACTGATATGCGTATAAACTCTTGCGCATATTTTGCATCGAAAAACGTTTTCACCTTCCTTAATACAATAGTCCCTTACTGATTCGTTTGTCTCTTCGTGATAGCTGCCAACGTTACCTATGTTATTTTTCCTTATGGGAGATGGAAAAATGCGATGCTCCCAGTTTGTTTGCGATATATCGGATATTTCGTTGCCAGGTAAATTAAGATTGTTCTGTTCTAATTCGGCAGCAAACAGTTGTGTTGCCAAAGCAGGCATTAGTACCGTTTCGGGAGGAAATTTATCAAAACTGTTAAGCGCTGGATTTAAATTAGAAAGACCGGAGAGCTGACTAAATAAGTTTCGAGCTCTAAATTTGGACATTTGGGGTAGCAGTTTTTTACTATTCTTTGGTTTCAGGTTACGACCTAGTCTGGCTTTGTCTTCTGTATCTTTCACAGGACCCTCCTGTGAGTTGGAATTTTCGCGGCTTCTTTCCGGATTGTATTTGTATTCGATTGGTTCACTATAATCGTCTGTAGCGTCATTGGCGGGTTCCTGCTTTATTGATCCGTTTTCAATTTTAAGGACCGGTCCATTCGACGGATAGTTGTTATGGGAGTCCTCTTTCGTTGTTTTATCGGTATCTGAAATATTGTAATGCCAAATTCTTATCCTTTTAATGAAATGTCTCAATTACTTTAATATGAATTAGATTGGAAATATTGTAGTAGGACGGGGCAGGTAACAACAAAATAAAATTATGACCTTACCAAACTAGAATATTTCCAATTATGCTTTGAATGGAGGAAAGCTATTGGGAATAAGCCTTGTTCGTTTTCCCTTTTTATGTGTATTATATAATATATGTTTAAGAAGTTAATAGAGTGAGATTATGTTATTCAAACCATTACCACACCAAAATTGCCCCTGGCCATTCCTTTAATAGCTCTCCCCGAAAGCAGAAAAGCAAGCAATAGTTAAACTGATGACTTGTAGAAGAAATAAGCATTTTATCGAGAACGTATACGTCAAAAATAATTTGATAGATTATCACTTACCCCTTCAGAATAAAATTTAAATATCATAAATAAATAGGTAATCATAATACACTTCACTTTTTCACTTATTCAATTAAATACCTATCATCAAAGCTTATATCCCATTAGCTTTTCTCTTATTTCTTTATACATTTTATAAAAAATTAAAACGGTGTTAGGTCAATGGAAAGGAAAATTATAATGTATTTACAAGAGACAAGCAAAATTAAGATTTCCGCGTGATTACTTAAGTGTATTTTTCTTTGTACAGTACATAAGTCGTTACACATATTGAGTGTTTATGTTTAATATTTAATTGCCATTTTTCCTCTATAAGAAAAATTAAACTACTAAAGGTAAAATTATATCTGCTAACGTCGTAATAACATCATTAACTAGGCACGTACCTGCAGACTCGGAGTCCTTGCCAGAGGTCGGGGCTTCGTTAGACTGCGCATCGTCGCCCTCGTCGATCATAAGAGCCTCTCCTGCTTCTTCGCCACCAGATGTCGCACCGTCCTCTGCACTGAAGCCGTCCATAGACATTTTGACCTCGAGCATTTCCGGTGACCCCCTGATCAACTGATCGGCGGCCCTGTTTGAAGGGGCATGCGACGCGGTCTCCGGAATGAACTCGCCCGGCGGGCTCGCTGCAGTATTCAACGCATCACTAGAACTTCCACTGAGCTTTCTCGGCCGACCTCGTTTCCTTTTTGGTTGCATTAGGGCGTTGCCCAATAAAGGCATTAACAAGTTGGGAGGCGCGCCTCCACTGGGCATTCCAGATGCCGGTCGTTTCTGATGCATATACGGATGTATTCTGTGAAGCTGCGGCGGGGGGGTGTGTGCACTCCCACCAGTTTGCTGCTGTTGGATCAGCGAGTTGGTCAGAGCCGGTATATCGCACTTCTCCTCGTTAACCTCAGTCAGGCCCTTTATCCTTAGGCTCTCAGCTACTTTCAGAAACGCGGTCAAACGTTCTTGATCAACGCTTACTTCGCCCCGGTACATGAAATCTAATAAACACTTCATATCTGAGTAAGGGACATCCTTTAATATTACAATAGGATGTTTCTCTTGATGATTCAAAAACAGTGCTTGGAAATATGGGCTGCAGGCCGACAAAACCATCTTGTGTGCTTTAAGAAATTGGCCATCGACCGCTAACGTCACATCTGTGAACGTTTCTGCGTGCAGTAGCTGATCAAATACGGATAACATATTTGACTGATGGTTGTTCCATCTCAAACAAAACCTTTGCGTAGCCATCTTTGCGTATTTTTCTGCCAGATTTGGCTTAATCTAATGTATTAACAATACGAATAATGTATACATAAGTATTCTCTCTTGTTCCATGAACAATATAACAAATCTTTAACAATGGATAATGTTTACTTAGAAGCCATTTTTAAGCTGAATGTTTCGTAGTGCTATTGCATTTTGGTATGACGGGAGCAGGAGAACCTGTAAGAGAATAAAATAATATGAAAACGTGATAAAAATCTGCTTCTGAATGAGCTTCTCTTTATTTAAACTAAGTATTGTGTATGCCCTAGAAAAGTTTTTCCTTACTCTACACAGCCCGCACAAAAATTAAAAAAAAATCGGTAAATCAAATTCTATAATTATAATTATTTACTGATATAAATCATTGGAAATATAAATATATTTATCTAAATAAATTTCTATACTTCGTTAATTTATAAAAAAATCTACATAATTAAAGACTTATTGTTTATAAAAACCCTACTAAAATCTGAAATAATTTAATGTGATTTTAACTGGTTTGTTATGAATGATCCGGTACGCAGATATCTAGTAGATTCAATCAAGGTTAAAAAAATCGAGGGCGCCTCTAGCGGCGGGTGGCGAGTCTGTGCATAACGAGCGCATTGCAGCAGGAAAACATTCTATGTGTAGTAAATCTATATATAGGCAATCCTTAGACGAATTTCAAGCTCTAAAACCTTAAGCAAACTGAATTTCATTACTATTGTATTACTATAAATATATATCATAAAATAAAAATTAAGCAACCCTTTTATGAGTTCCTATAAGATTCCTATTAGAATCGCAAAAATGATTGTAACATATAAAAACATCAAAATCTCGCTTCACATCTACAGGTGCTGACCACAAACCTTATCGCGGCATAAACGGGCGCTCGAATTATTACTACGCACCCGAGCGCGGTACATTACGTCATCACAATGGCATTATTACCTACGTTATCCGCATTAATTCGGGCGATACGTCGTGATAACGACAGTTTGAGAATAATTATATCACTGCACTAACATAATAACGTACCACACGTACTGCACAACAATCAACTCGACCCTTTTATGGGAGTGAGGAACAGCCCTTCCGCCATAGTCCGAGTCCGCGTTTACGTCGCACCCCGCTCACCCGACGACTGACGGGCTGGCGGCCACAACCCCGCGCGGCGAACACCGCCTCGCTCCGCGACTCGAATATCTCTCACAAAAAATACGCCGTCATCATCGAAATGGCGGCAGCGGATATATTCAGCGCAGGGTGCACAGTAAAATATTGATTTATTGAAATTCATTGATTTGCATTCGCGTAACTTAGATTACACTGATGTTAACGATTACTGGATCGTGACTCACGTATTTATGTTTATATTTATCATATTTATGAGATATAAAGTCATTTCATGGCTTATAAGCTTGTCACTGGCGGTTTTGGGGTGGAGTTTATTCCTGTATACATTATTATTCGATAGAGACATGCTCCATTAAATTCTATTTTATTTTTAAAAACAAGACATTGTTGGCACATAAAATAATAGAATTAAAACGAGCTATATTCATAGACTAAACTACACTGGAAGGCTTTTCCAACTAATAGCATCTAAGGACAAGACCACGTACTTGAAATGGGTTAAGTAAAAATGTAATTAATGATCTATGAAAAGAAAATATATTCAGCATCTGGGTCAACCTACCTTTCAAAAAGTGTTCAAGGGTTGAGTTTCCCACGTGAAAAACATTAATCCATTGGTGTTGTCGCCATGTCAGCATATGCTCCGTCTCTATTCCTCGCAAGCGGGGTGGCTTGGACGCCCTCGTCGCGCCTGAGGCCGCCGGAGATATCCGAACTCTGCCACTTTTCGCAACCGAATGCAGCCGAGTTCACACGGAAAATAGTCCGCAAAGCGCACTGATAACTTTATTTTTTTTTCATAAATCAACTTTTTTCTAACACTTACATTAAAAATAATAATCTACTGTAAACTATTAATTTATTACCACCAAATTAAAAAAAAGAAAAGTCCGAAAGTTTCGTGGATTGCAGGACGCTTTAGAAAAAATCCGCGCGCGATACGTTACACGGAAGTATTTTTATTAAAAATGGCCTGCCGCCTCGGCGGGAGGAGTGGCAATGGGCAATGAGGTCGGTACCCTCACTATGGCACCCGCGCGCGCCCCTCCCTGCCGCTTCACTCCGGCACAGGGTTAGAAAGTTTCAAAAGTGGATCATGGAAAACGCGGTATACAGCACAAGCCCGGGTGATCAGGTGCTTTATGGGAAGGGTGAAGATATTAGGAGGACCTGATTTCCGAAAACCCTTCAATTCCTAATTTACCAAAAATAAATCGCTTGATATTATTTATAATAACAAAAGCCTAGAGACAATAACAAAAATTACTTACTAGAAAACAATTTTTTTACGAGAGTTTTTTGAATTGAGGAAATACTTCCATACTGTAAAACGAGTAAGAAGTCTATTCAAAAATGAAAAATGAACAGACGTTAATTTGTGAAACTTTTATTAAAGAGCTTTAAGCTAAAAATTTATATAGAAAATTTATTTATTTATATTATTTAATATTAAATACGATGGTAATAAATTCAGCACAATTCGTATAATAATTGAATATAAGGAAATAGAGACTATTGCTGCATAACTTAGTACAGACCATCTCCCAATTTTGACAGAGCATTACACCAGATTAGAGTTATATGATAATTTTTTATCCAAGTAGTAATTTTATTATACTGACATTTTATTTTAAAAAAACTGATATTTCATAGCAGAAAAGAGGAAAAAGGTTTTCATAGGGGTTTGTAATTTAGAGACATGGGAGAGTAGATTAAAGCGCTATCGTAAACACGTATTGCCGTATTATATACCCGTAATACGCTACGGAGACACTTAAAAACTTAATTTGCATAATTCGTGATAAAGAGGCTATAAAATACTAGCAGTGGTAAATATTTATTCATAAAATAAATCGGTATTTTTACTTTGCTGTCCTGTAAAGGCAAAGAGCAGTGAGTACGGCGTGTTGGCACACCCAGTATTGTAGAGTCAGATTACAAGAGTAGGTGACGAATCATCTGGTGTTTGTCAAACATCTTATCACGTCAAAAACTTATCGCGCTCTATTCTAAAATATACAAATTGAGATAATTTTTATAACTCTATCAGAAACATTACTATTTGAAACATAACCGCAATATGCCGCTATCTTAACCTGGTGTACAGTTTTTCTATTTAAATGTAAGGGTGGGAAAGGGTGACAAATAAGTATACTTTCCATTTTATGGCAAGTGGTTTCTTTGGCCTATGACACCTACATCTACTCTTAGCTGAGAATCGAAAGGTAGATTCGTTTTTACTCCTGATGACTAAGATGGAATATAATATTGTACAAGTTTAAAGAGTCTCCGATTTACACTTATCATTCGAAATAAAGCAGGATTACTCTGCTATTTTATGCTGGTATTCCGTGCGAGCATAGTCCTTCTCCAGTCGAGCTGATCATTTAGTGCTGAAACCGTATTTTTTAACTCTTATAAGTCCGTGGATGGCTCTACCAATAATAAATACGGTGATTATCATCTAAAATGCGAGATTTTTTGGCAATCATTGCCATTTGCGTCTTCTATTACCCTCATAGACGCTTACCTTTATTTCTATATTAAATGACAAAACGAAAGGTTATAAGTTATTGGAAACTTAAAAGTCTATCGTTAAATCTCGTTGCAGTGATCACGAAATTAACAAACCCGGCAATGCCCAACGCTGCTTCACTGTCCATCATGATTTATCTGTGTTGCTTCTAATTTATTTTAAGGCAATACCAACCATTTACCATCGGTGTAGACCCGTGACCCGGAAATGATAGAACCGAAAATGGCTCTCATATTTTTCCATGTATCTTCAAAATAATATCATTTAATCTTTTAAACTGTATAAATAGTGCAATAGTGTTCTGTATATTTTAATAAAGTACTCAGTAATATTTTTTTGGGTGTTCTAAATTTTTGGTATTATTTAAGATGACAGGGCGCTGAATTTTCTTTCTCGAAATTAAGTTTTTAATAAAAAACAAAAGTCTACTCTGAAGAACTAAAAATAATAAAATAAATTCCGGGTAACACTGCTGGACGACACCAAGACTGCTGCATTTTCAAGGATGTCAGCAGGTATACATTTCTTGAAAGCGTTATCCATATTAGATACGCTGGGCAGGTAAGTTGGTGAGGACGAATACTCCCATACTGGTAATGAGACTCATCATTATCAGTTTGTGACAATTGACTTTGTTTAGTATACCAAAATGTCAAAATAAATTTAATATGACTTAGTTCCGTTTAAATTTATGTAAATACTAATCAAATTCCTGTTTTCTATAAATACCTATCTGTGGAGTGATGTAAATAAACGAACCCGTATCGATTTGTCGGCAGCTAGAGTATAATTCAGCAGTGACCTGACCTAGGTCATCGTGCCAGTGTTAGCTGAAGTCCTTACAGTGAGCTGACCCAGTTTTCAGGCGACACTGTTGGCACATAAAAGCTTGCCAACATACTTTCCCGGTAATATCAAACGTGCCCTAAAATCATATGGTAAGGTTTGATTTATTATGACTTGGATATGGATTTTTTACACTATTATCAAACATCAATTTAAATTAAGTTCACGCATGCGTAATAAGTTATAATAATAAAATTATCTCTTATGTTTAATCCTATGCATTATTACTCATTTGAAATTTATGAACGGCTTTTCTAACAAAAGTTAAACCGTAAAGATTAATTTTAACTTTGACGATTTAAGAGACCAATGAATAAGCAGATTCACTGTAACGGCTCCAGCGAACGGTTGACGGTAACTGTTAAAACTACGCAAGTGGTAAAAGCTGCGAACAAAAAGAAATCCTTCAGCTTTCTAACACAGACGTGTGTGTACATCGTCTACGTTCTCATTGAAGACGGGATGCGAGAAACTTCAT